ATCATCAATAGATTTATTATAGAATGGAGGTACGAGGACTCACTGTATACCTCCAGTGACACTGTCTCCTTTCAGATTGAGGCCCCCAAGTGAAATACAGAGTGAGGACAGTGATTTCCACCTTATTTTACAATGAATCTATCATATGCATGACTATAATATGTAACTGTTTTGAGCCCTACATACTGGTTTCCTGAGGTTTTACATTTTCTTACAGTTGTCTCTGCTTGGAAGGTAATAATTAGTTCTATATGGTGTTATTTCACATTCATTGAGCTCTGAAAATTTCTGTTTTCTACTTTAGAGGTATTAGATTGTATATGTATATATCTATATATGCATATATGTATGTGTATACACATATACATACATATATATGTGTGAGTGTATACTTTTTATATGAGGACAACAAGTGTGTGCGTGTGTGTGCACACACACACACATATACATATCCTAGAATCTCTATAAGAGAGGGTGGATACAGGAATGAAGGTGGGATGCTTCCTATGGAGTAGAAGAAGTCAACTGGTTTTAAAGATTTGAAAGTTTTGAATGAATCAATTTTTAGGGGATGGAGAATGGGTACTAGGGATGGAACTCAGGACTTGAACATGCTACTTAAGCACACTATTACCAAGTTACTTTCCCAGTCTTGGATAACGTAAAAAGTAATTAAATCAAGAAAATTGACATGCGTAAGTGTGCTCTGAGTTCAAGAACTGTGAAAATGTAAAAGACATAGATAAGAAGGAGATGAAAATAAAATTATTTTTCTTTCATATTATTTTTATAAGATTGAAGAGACAGAATGAAGGGTACTCATCTTGCCCTAAACTTGAAAGATAGAGATGTATGCTTTGAAAACACACACACACACACACACACACACACACACACACACACACACACAGTATATAAAGTTACTTTGCTTACATCTCTTGGAATTGCAAAAGAAACAATTTCCTCAGTCATTTGGACACTAAGTTTTTAGTCTTTCTTATACAAATAAAAAGTACTATCTAGTTGGGTGTGGTGATATATGCCTGAAATTCCAGCTGCTTGGGACACTGAGGCAGGAGAATTGTGAGTTCACAGTCAGCCTCAGCAATTTAGTGAGACCCTATCTCTAAATAAAATATTTTAAAAAGGGAAGGGGACCTGGCTTAGTGCTTGAGCACCCCTGGTTTCAGTCCCTGGTACAAGAAAAAAAAAAAAAGTACTATCTATATGATTTGGATTCAGTTACTATTACCTTAAAGTTAATGTCCTTAAAAATTCTCTGCATTTTTCTTAAAAATACATTAAAAATATGGTAGGTTATGGTAGGTTTCTTTCTTTCTTTCTTTCTTTTCTTCTTTCATTCTTTATTTCTTTTGTTCTTTCTTTCTTTCTTTCTTTTGTTCTTTCTTTCTTTCTTTCTTTTTGTATTGGGGGTTGAACCTCAGGCTTTGTACAAACCAGCAAGTGGTCTACCACTGAATCCCATTCCCAGACCTTTTTGTTTTATGCTGAGACAGGGTCTTGCTAAATTGCAGAGGTTAGTCTCAAACTTGTGATCCTCCTGCCTCATTCTCTTGAGTAGCTGGAGATTATAGGTGTTGGCCACCATTTGCAGAAGTAAGTTTTTTTCTTCTTTCCTTCATTTTTTCTTTCCTTCCTTCCTTTCTTTTTTAGGCATTTTCATATCAGAATTTAAAATTTGTTTTCTAATTCAGATTATCCAAGAAGTCCTTAGATTCTAGTGTTAACCAAACTCCTTGAAAAAGAAAAATCTAATTGCCACAAACAGTATCCTTGGACATAATGCATTGCTGAGTCTGAATTAGTTCAAGTTGTGTGGGGTAGTCTATTGTCAAAATACTGTATATTAAAAAAAAATGTTTTGTCAATACATTTGACATGAATTCATAACTCAATGAAAACATATACTTCTAATACATACACATAACATGGGCAAACCAAATCTGACACTGATAGGTAACAAAGAGACATGAACAGTGGGAACATGAGGTTATCAAGCTAATTCTATAAACTGGGCCTACTGTTCTGATGT